TATCTATTAGTGTTGTCTTTGTTTAGATCTTGTTTAGACAGCCATGTTGTTCAGGTATCACGGTATCACGGGTGAAGATGTCCTGTCATTTCTGTGAGATATAATCTCATATACCATTTCCTGGTTCTCTGGCTCTTACAATCTTTCTACTCCGTCTTCTATGATGTTCCTGAACCTTGGGTTTAGGGGTTCTGCTGTAGCTGTATCAGTTGGGGTTGGGCAACTCTTCATTTCGATCAGTTGGGTTTTCTGTAATGGTCTTCATCTGTTGCAACATTGTTGGTGGGTATTGGAAGCTACACTTACCTGTGGGTATAAGGATGAGTACTTTGAATGTAATTAGGAATTATGCTTTAGGAAAGTGGTGGTACACGGTTCTCTTTTAGGATCCATGGCCTCGCTAACCCTGGTGCTTGGCTAGGTTTCCAGTACCAGGCATGAGTTCCCTCCTGTTGAATGGGCCTTAAATCGGAGTTAAGAAAGCTGTTGGCTACTACCGAGATTGTATGCTTAGAAATATCTCACCATTGTGGTTTATAGATGTCATATCTGGGGGTAGGGACAGTGGTTGCTCCTCACCCTGGGTAGCTTGCATAGCATCTTCTGTGACTTTGGAAGTTAGTTCTTTAGCTTCCAGGTTAGATCCAGCTCAGATCCTCTGAGTACTGTCATACTCTGTATTTTTGATAAGCAGGGGGATTTACCCAAGGCTTTGTGCATTCTAGGAGAGTACTCTATTAGCTGAGCCGTATCCCCAGCCCCTGCAGTGGTTTTAGATGCAGTTTTTCTGGTCTGGTTTTCCCAGCTCTCTGGGTCCTATCCTATGTCTTGCTACTTACACCTGGTGTTGTGTTGTATTTGTGAAAAATAATGGTTTCCCCCTCTCTAGACAGTGAACGAGTTCTGGACCTCCATATTTCTTGGTTGATTTAGCTTTTGTTTCAGTTCAACACGATACTGGAGTCTCCATTATGAATGAAAGCAGGAGAGTGCCAGGACTCATCCAAATGTTGAGACAGACTGTAAATACCTGTGGGGAAAGTACTTCAGCCTTTCCGATGGAAAGGATACTGTAAGCTTAGCATGCAAGGGCTTTGCATCAAAGCCCAGATCCCAGCTTTTCTTCCCACTTCTTAGACAAGGCCAGCACAAAGGTTCCTCTGTTCCCAGTGGCATTCACGTCACTACTTTATCTTGTTATTCCTGATGTCTTGCCAATCACACTGAGAATTTCACACAAGAATAACCAAACCAGCGTTGCCTCCTCAACAGCAAAGAATAGAAAGAAAAGGCTATCTTTCCAAGGCAGGCTTTTCTATTCCGTCTTTATTTTCACTGGACGCTTTAACTTGCCACTCTGTCTTTGGGGAACCCCAGGAGTCCACGCTGATGAAGAGCCGAGTTAATTTTCTCTTCCATGGCTCAGCCTCACATTCATTCTTTTCTTTGTTTTAAAGCAGGAATTTTGGAAAGGCATTGGGCTATGGGAGAGTGCTGTGGGATTTCTTTATGGGGATGCTGAGGCTATGGCTCAGTTGATAGAGTGATTGTCTATCTGATACGAAGCTTGAGTTCCATTCCCAGCGCCGCATAAACTGGTCATAGTGATGTTCTCAGCACTTGGAAGGTGAAAGTAGAAGAATCAGGAGTTCAAGGTCATTTATGATGAGTTTGGGGATAGCCTGAGCTACATGAGTCCCTGTCCCTAAATAAAAAGAAAGTCTTCTTTATGAGGTTACAAACCCATACACTATGCCAAAGACTGGCCTTTGGGCCCACCGATGGTGGCGGTGCAATGGTGACAGTTGGAGGGTGGAAAGGTGGACATGTCTCAGGTCATCTGTGTTTCACACTCATTGGCAAAGACTTCCTTGTGCTAGCTTATTCCTTAGACTCACCCTTCCCAGTAGTTCTGTTTCAGCCTCCAAGAAGAGTCCCTACTTCTTTATCTATTTATTAAGTTTGCCAATAAACTCTGGGCTTTGACCTTGCAGCAATGTCAATTATCCAGCAGGGTTTTTATGGAGGAGTTGAGTGCAGTGGTATAGTTAGTGTACACTTTTGGTCCTGAAATAATAACATCCTATCAGCTCCTCATCAAGATGAAGGAGGCATTATATCCAATGAGCTCAGACTAGGACCTGGGAGGACATAAACAGTTGTGGATGGCCATTGTTGGACTCACTTGGTGGTGGTGTAATTATTATCTTTGGGGGTCTGGAGATTCAATATGGCTGCCCTTTCTATGGTGGCTCTTCTTTTATCCCCTTTATCTTTCTCTGCTGACTCAGTGAGTCACAAGGTTTGGACATCTAACACTTACCTGGCACTTTGTACTATGTTTGCCACAGAGGTAACACCGGACCATGTGTGTGGTAGTTACTCTTCTTGTTGTCCTGAAATATCTGACAAAGGCTACTTAAGAAAGGATTTATTTTGGGAGCATAGCTCTCTCACTGTGGGAGAGCACGGGAGCAGGAGTGCCAGGCAGCTGGTTGCATGGCATCTATAGTCAGGAAGCAGAGAGAGATGAATGGTGGTGTGCACACTTCCTCCTGTTTCGTCCAGGGTTCAGCCTGTGCAAAGGCACTGCTCACATACAGGGTGGGTGTTCCCTCCTCAATTAACCCAATGGGAAAAACTCCTTTCCAGGCATGCCTGTAGTAACCTTGTATCTTGGGTAACTCTTGATCCAGTCAGGTTGACAATATTAACTATCACAGGTTTATTGCATGAAGGGAATTAATGCTAATACACCTTAAAACAGACAGAAGATGATGTGTGCTGACCAACGGAAGGGAGCTGAGCCAGTCGGGTTGGTGAGAATGGGAGAATGGCTAGCTTCCTCACTGACCTACAAACCAGACACTGAAAGGAGATCTGGGGAGAGAACTCCATAGGTAAGACTGCCTGCTGTAAGACAGAGGACCAGAGTTCAAATCCCCAGCACTCACTAAAAACCTTGCCATTGCCCCGTGTGCCTTTAATGCCAAAGTTGTGGTGGTATGGGGATAGGAGGATTACTGGAACTTGTTGGCCACCAGTTCAGTGAGATACCCAGTCTGATAGAGAGTGACACCTAATATCCTTTTCTGATTTCCAAATGTGCATGGATGTTCACACGCCACACACATATGTAAGGATATACTACACATCACAAATGTATACACACACTCACACAATGGGAAAAACTGACATACTTTTCTATACCATAGCCCTCAGAACCACATACATAATTGAACAAAGGTTTCACGGAACATTACTAACCCTGCCTATATGAAATCCTCTGTGTTGTGTGTTTTTCTGAAAATGCAGTTGTAGCCCATTACGCTGACTTCTGACCCTCTAATGGCTCAGTCTGAAAATCCCTGGACTAGTTGTCCCCTCAGGGGCTTTCAGCCTGAACTTTCTGTAATTTTAGAGCCACAGGGTCTGCATGGGTTTAAAAAAGGAATAATTAATCTCCTGGGGTAATGACTGGTGAAAGCTCAGCAAGACTAAATAATAACAAAAGCACATCACATATATGACTGGCTCCCACACCAGTGTTCTGGACTGCAAAAGCATGATTTCATGGAGCAGAAGAGTCTGGTTGTTGGGATTCACTCACCAGTGAGGAGGCTGTGTTGTTTGGCTGGCTTTTCCTTTACAGGAAGAGAAAAGAGGATCTCCTCATTGACGTTCACTCCTGAGTATTGGAGTTCTGGAAAGAATCCATGCTACTCAGGAGGAAAAAGCCTCAACCAAATAAAATCCCAAGCCCAGCTTGTTTTAATCTCTAAATGGTTGGAGTCCTGTGAATGAGGGGGTCTGGAGCAGGGACTTCCCTGGCTATGTAAATGTTTGTTTTTTCCTAATGTGTTGGTCTCTTTGCTTGAATGCACAAGAGATAACCATCTAGAAACAAAAACCCCAGGAGAAACTTAAAACAAGGAGAGCAAACAGAGCCCACCCCCACCCCCAAGCAAAACACCAGCCCCTGACCTCCTATTCCCTCATCCATCCTCAGGCCACCCTCCAGTTTCCTTGTGGCAGAGGAGCCCCTCTGGCTCTGCCGAGTCAACTGGAAGACCTCTATCTCCAAACTCTCTCTAAGCTTTGTACCCAAAGGAAACTTCTGGAATTCTACATGGCTTGCTGAGATGGCTCTTGGAGTTCAAGCCTTTCAAAAAAAATGAAGCTAGGCTCCTCTTCTCCATCTACAGGGAAGGAGATGGACCCTGGGGAAAATGTCAAATGGAAAGAACGCAGCTGTGGTTTCCTAAAGAAGTCAAGGGTTTTTTTTTCTTTGCTATTCCACTTGCCTTTGATTTGTGGATAAACACACAGAATTCAAAAGTCCATGAACTGGGTGATTTCTGAGCCTCTTATGCCTTAATAGAAGCGAATGACCAGGCATGGTGATGTATGTCTATAATCCCAGGGCTTAGGAAATAGACTTAGGAGGATCAGGATTTAAGAGCAGCCTGGGCTACAAGAATGAGTTGGAGGCCAGCCTGGGCTACATGTGACTTTGTCTCAAAAAAACAAACAAACAAACAAACAAACCAAAAACTAAACCAAAACAAAACAAAATGAAACAAAAGCAGCAAAATACAGGATGAACTTAATTATACATAGTACACATAAAATGTTGGGAAACTCGCAGTGAGTTGCAAAAACAACAAACAAACAAACAAATGCAACTGTCAGTGTTACTGTGTGCATATTCCCTATCCCAGAAGAAGACTGAGAAACTTTAAAATGGAAAGAATCTTGTTAAGGAAGACAAAGTCCTGAGGACTAAACCAGTGTGGAGAGTCTGGTCACACATTCTTGCTAGCTGAACCACCACACATTCCTGGTTAAAAAAAACAACAACAACAACAAAAAACAAAAACCGTAGGGGGTGGCCAGGCCTTGGAGATGGAGGTGTCTCCCATGCTGGGTATTGAATAGTTAAAGAGGTCAGTGGGAAAGTCCTTGGGTGTCACCTGGGGCCTCAGGAGGGGTGTGGCTATACAGCCATTCTTATCTGACCACAGCTTTGACCCCTCCTCAAAACTTCAGACTCTGATTCCAGAGCTCTCTTAAAGGTAAGGAAGCAGTTTGCTGGAATACAATGGTCTTTTTTAAGGCAGCTCAGATGTTTATCTTATCCCAATATTTACACTATTGAGCAGGATTTAGGTGTATTTTTCTATTCCTTTGGGGAGTGAAGTTTCACTGTGTTAAGTTGAATATCAACTCTTAAATGAAAATGAAGGGGGGGAAATCATTCTTTGACCCAGGAGAGGAAACTGCATTGGTAAAATCTAGCCTGGAGTCCTCTCTGCCTACAAGCCTGGGGACAGAGAACCCCAGGAGAAAGCTCAGGGGAGTTGCAGAGGTAGGAACGCTGGAATGTTCTAGTGTCTGACTTGCTCTTAGCACAGAGCAACTGTTGATGGAGCCAGTGTTCCTGGAGCTTAGGCCACAGGTGGCCCTGGGTCTGGCCACCCTTCCCATCGGAAACTAAGTTAAACCCTAACACCATTTATGTTTTTGCAGTTGGCTTAAATTAGCCCCAGGAAATAGGCTCCATGATAACAGCCTGTTGCAATAGGAAGGACAATAGCCAGTTGGCTCTGGGGGTGAAGGGATTGGGCTCAGCTATTGTATCTCATTTTAGACTGGCAGATTTAATTTTCAGCATCTCCCAGGCCCTCCACTTAAACTTTTTTCTTCAGATAAGACAAAGACCCCAAGTGTATTCAGAATTTCCAAAAGTCTTGAGGGTTCTTCCTTAACTGTGACCGGCAAACTCTGGTTATGTATTCACTCAAGTAAGCCTCTCAACAGTCCTTCAGGTTAGTTTTGCTGATGGTGAAACTGAGGCACAGTGAAGTCAGGCATGTTGGGTCCACTCTGAAGCCTGTATTCTCAGCACTGCGCTCTCAGCGCAAGAGGCAGCTAAGTTGTGGGTTTTGTTGTCTATAAGGTCAACACAGAGGATGAATCCGGTGAAATCAGGGGACACAGTTTGTTTCTCGTAAGTTTTGAACTTTGGTTCCAGCATGTGTGGCTTGCTTGGAATGACCTAAACGCTTTAGAGTTCTAAGATTGTGTGTGCATGCATGTGTGCATTTATGCGTTTGTGTGTACATGTATGTGTGTGTGTGTGTTTGAGAGAATGTGTGTGTGTGCGCGCACGCACGCAGTTTGCCAGAGTCAATTTTGAGTGTTGTTCCTCAGAAGCTATACTCCTTGATTTTGAGACTGGGTCTCCCCTGATCCAGGAACTGCCCAGGTAGGCGAGGCCGGATGGCCAATGAGCCCACCCGTTTCAGCCTCTCCAGCCCTGGGATTACAAAATGCACAGCATCGTGCCTGACTTTTATGTGGGCACTAGGGATGGAACTTGTGCCTACTGGTCCTTGTGCCTATGCAGCAGCACGGTACCCGCTGAGCCATCGCCTCAGTGTCAAAAGCAGTCTCATTCAGTACTTGCTAGAAATTGGGGGTGCTGTGGGCAGAAAGAAAAGCCTGGACCCGTGCCAGCCACCAGCATCTGTGCTCTCCACCTCTTCCTTGGAGCCCGAAGCTCTGGGAAAGACAGTCTTTGCTGCCATGAGCTCATGAGGATGAGAATCTCACAGTAGGCTCAGGAGCAGAGCTCTCGCCTTGCCTGCAGCAGGGCCTGAGTTGGATGCGGCTGCAGAGATGATGGCTCAGTCAGCACAGTGCTTGCCTCGTTGTAAGCACAAAGGTCTGAGTTCAAGCCTGAGGACCCCCACTTAAAAAAAGCCAGGTGTGGTATATTGTTGTAATCCCAGCACTGGAGAAGAGGAAACGGGCAGATGCCTGGGGGTCTATAGTTTCAGGACAATGAGACATTTGTTAATCCTGAATTTAGTCAGAAAAACAACAACAAAATAAAACAAAAAACCAGTTACACCATTTTGGCCAAGCTTAAGCAAGCTTTTATTAAATGTTAAATACTGATCAAGATGGAATCTGGTTAGTACCATCTCCTGGAAACAGGTTAGTAGACTGAGTGAGACATGTGTTGACAGGGTTTATATGGACAAAACTCATAAGCCACCATACTTTCCAAGAACTACAACTCCCAGCATTTCAGGAAGTTCCCTGGTCTTTGGGCAGATAGGACTTACAGGTTAACTGAGAGTCTACCAACTGTCTATCTCAAAAAACAGTATGGACAGGACCCAGAGGGATGGCAGTGAACTGGCGTGTTTTCTCTGGCCTCCACACATATATGCATATCGGAACACACGTTTGTACGCTCCTCCCCCCAAATCAACACACACTCATCTTAAGCAGGTTCAGATGTAACTCTAGGAAGGGTGTCTTCCTCCTTGGAGCTTCTACCTCTAAACCTGAGAATTTCTCCAATAGTATCTGAAAAGTTTCTATACCCCGATAAGCCTCTCTGCCAATACTGCAATCCAAATCAAACCAAATTAGAAAAAGCCCCCATTTAATGAATACAGTGCTCCTGGATGGCCTTCCAGCCTCCCCAAGCAGAGAGGAGAGGGAGACCATAAAAACTATGAGTCTGGTTTCTGGGGGACAGTTTAAATACCCTGTGGGAGTGGTCTTGAGCACCTCTTGGGGGAAGGGTCATCATTTGGCGGGCTTTCTGAGATGCAGCAGGGTTTAGAGGGAGATGGGGGAGGGGGCTTGGGTGGAATTTTCACCATAGCAGTATCTAGTTCTCTCGTTCACATGAGTTTATTTACTCATTTAGTTCATTCATAAGAGCCTACGAGAACCTTATGATAATGGCCAGCACTATGCTATGAGGGCTAGATACAAGAACAGAAAGATGGATAGACCTGGTCATATAATTAAAAACAACAGCACAAGCAGCAGCAACTGGGCTATGTAAATGTCACCAAAAACATTAAAAATTAAGAGACTAGGAGAGAACCATCATACCATATGTACCAACAGATGGATGACTGCACATAATACATAAGTAGCACCTAGAGATCAGCAAGAAAAAGACATCCTCCCACCCTCAGTGGAAACTGAGCAAAAATGTGGGATGGTGGTTTAGCTGTTGAGGACTGGATTCAGCTCTTTATATACCCGTGTGAGTGCTAAGTGGGCGTGGCGGCTACCTGTCATTTCAGCCTTTTCTTCTTTCAACAAGGTATCCTAGCTCGCCTTACCTGTAAACTTTACACATCTTAGAGTCTCCTTAGAAGGGAATCTCAGTGGAAGAAGTCCTCAGATCAGGCTGGCCTGTGGGCAAGTCTAAGGGTCATTGTCTTGATTGTTAATTGAGGTAGGAGGGCCCAGCCCACTGTGGGAGACACCACTTCCTGGGCAGGTGGTCCCGAACCCTGTAAGAAAGCAGGGGAACATGGGCCTGGGAGTGGGCCAGCAAGTGGTATTCCTCCATGGTGTCACCTTCAGGCTCCTGCCTTGACTTCCTGCCCAAACTTTCCTCCAGGATGAACTGTGACCTGGAAGTGCAAGCTGAAACAGACCCTATCCTCTCCTAAGTTGTCTTTGGTCATGGTGTTTGTGGCAGCAAGAAGATGAAGCTAGGACACAGGCTTTCGTGTAGCCCAGGTTGGCCTTGAATCCTGTGTCCTCCTGTCTCCACCTCACACTGCTGTGAGTGCCACCACACCTGCTTTATGTGACCCTGGGCACAGAACTCAGGGTTTCATGCATGCTAGGCAAACATTCTACCAACTGAGGCACATCTCTAGTCCACATTTCACCCTTCTGAAAGTGGCTTTAGTGCACTCACACCTCTTCATCCTCAAAGAAACTATTTACCTGTAGGCAACCATTCCCTGGCCTCCCTACTTACTACCTTGCTCTTCTCCCATTCCCAGAAACCCAACAATGGACTGTCCAACCCTAGAGGTTTGCTTATTGTGGACATTCTTTATATAGAGAACCATACTCGTGTCTATTGTCTTCCATTTATCAGACTCTTTTCAAGGTTCATCCATATTGTAGCATACATAGCACTCCATTCCTCTTCATGGCTGAACAATGTTCCATTTTAGTGGACATACCCCATTGTGTTTCTCCACCCTCCCATTTGTAGATAGTTCTTGGGTTTTTCATTACTTTTTAAAAAATAAGATACTTTTGTGTGGTGTATCGCTTCAGCTACTGGACAAATTCTTTTTGTCATGAGGTAGAATACAGGCAATTAAAGCTTGCCTATGTGTATGCAAGGATATACCACCCCAGTATTCACAGAATTGGTGTGCACATACTCTGGAGGTGAAAACAGTGGAAAAGCTGCATTTGTGGAAAGGGTTCTATGGCTCACCTTTTCCTATGCATAGCAGGTCATAAAGATTCCTATGGGAGGGGTGGTCCCCTCCTACCAGGGCAGGAAAATAACCCTTATCACCAGAGTCTCCGAACTGGGGCTGGATGGGCCTGAATAAATAAACCTGCAAGTCGATCTTATCTTCTGTCCGCTTCACATCCCCTCGTGTGTCTTGATGGCTCCCCTAGGTCCAGGTCCCTGGCCACAGAGCCCTCTGTTCTGCTGCTGCTTTAGAAGTTCACACCCTTTGCTAGAAACAGTATATATATATCACATTTTTCTTTGGTCTCTGTAGACGTCACTCTTTTATGATGATCTTAACCATAAAACTTAAAGCTTGTATACTTTCTCTTACTGTTTCGTTTCTTGTTAATTTGGCTCTTAGATTCAGCCAAGGATCTAAGAGGGTGGGAATAGACAGGCTCTCTCCCTGCTCTCCCCCATAAATATATATGTATATAAATATATATGCTTATGTACACAATATCAACATTCTATACAACAATAAAAATAAAAAATAGTATCTTTTTTTCCTGTTGTGATTTTTGAGATGGTCTTATATAGGCCAGGCCAGGCTGGTCTCAAGCTTGACATGGGTGGAGGAGGACCTTGGTCCTAATCCTGGGATTACAGGCTGTCACCAGCCCACTTTATGCAGTGCTGGGGATAGAACTCAGGGCTTCATACATACCAGGCAAGCTTTCTACCAACTGAGCCGCATCCTCAGCGCCTAGCAGCATAATTTTGAGTTCTGAAGATAAAGTGAGAAGGCACTCATTCATCAGACGAAACCTGTTCTAGGCCTCTCCTGTGCTCCTGAGCCCCACTCAGGATCTGTGAAGGGACTCACTTGTCTCAGAAGTCAACAGCTCAGCTTGATCCCTGGCTCACCGGCATCAGCATCTCTTCCTTTGGAGAAGCAGGAGATGACTCTCTCCCCATGTTTGTTTCCCTCATTAAAACGGTGGATGGGTTTCAATTAAAATGAGCTCATGGGTTGTTGGAAGCCTGGGCTGCATGGGGGAGGGTGAGTCACTGGTGCTCCTGTGAATGCCCAAGGCTGTTGTTTGGCAGTAGGCGCTGGGCTCTGCTTGCATGTGTGTGTATGTGGGGGGGTCGTCTGAGAGTGGGCAGCAGGAGGTGTCATTGCAAATGAATGTTCTCTGTGTGTGATCCGGATCATTCCCCTGCTTCCACCCTCCCCCATGCCTGCACTCACGGAAAAGAACCTTAACCACATGGGAACGATGGAGGACACGCATCCAGACTGAAGACCGTGATGCTCTTGGAGGCGGCAGCTATGTGCAGCTTCTAGAACTAGACTCTGGGGTGGGAAATGAGGCTGAGATCAAAAGGCAGATGGACCGTCAGTGTCTGTACAGTTAGACCGTCATGCAGCCTGGTCAATAGTTTTGGCACACAGATGTGGCTGAGCTAGCCAGCAGAGGCTCCACCAGGTTTTCTTGGTTGCCTGGAATAGTTGCCCTACTGTCTCTGGAACATTCAAGGAGAGTCAGGGAATGCTGGGCTCACCTCTGAAAAAACCCTAATTGAACCATATTGTGTGAAATCAACTCAAGATCTGCAACATTGAGTCAACTGCTTGTGGCTTTTTAGGGTAGCATTGTGACCATGTAGTTCTCTGATGGGGTTACTCATGGTTATAGCATGGAATGTAGAATTCAAAGCTGACTCAGTCAGTGCTTATAGTAGGTTATTGCTGGGCTCTGATGTTCTTGGGACCATCCTGCTGGATCTGAGAACCTCTGAGTGTCCACAGCCTACTCAGTGTTAGACTGGTTGCTTAGATTGGAACCTTCTGGCAAATATGATATTCTAAACAGACACCTGTGCCCCTCTCTTTGGCTATCAGATTACTGAAGCAGTGGACCCCAAGGAATTGGAATTTCCCCGGAGTCTCATGCTGGGAAAAGAGGCCAAAAGCCTACTGTCGGCCAGATGAGGAGCTTGTCTCCCAGGAGGATTTCACACAGTGCTGACAACTTGTTAGACCATCTTGCAGGAGAGACTGGAGCCCAGACAGTGATAGGTCAGTGATGGACGGGACCACATCTTGGCCAACACCACTTAGTTATGCATGTTTCTTGCCCTCTGTTTAAACATAAACCTCTCATCAGGACCCTAAAGATGGACTTGGGGGGCAGTGTTACTGGGTCTCATTGTTCTTTCCAATGTGGTTGCAATGAATAAACCTTCTTTTTCTGTTTTCATTCTTTGTTGTTGTTGTTTGAGACAGGGTTTCTCTGTATTGTTTTGGAGCCTGTCCTGGAACTCACTCTGTAGACCAGGAAGGACTTGAACTAACAGAGATCTGCCTGCCTCTGTGTCCCAAGTGCTGGGTTAATCTTTTAAGAGGCATGCATGTGCCACCAACGCCCGGCTTCTGTTTCCATTCTTATTTGTGTCTTGTCTATTTGAGTAGAGGACCCAGAGTTCATCTTGCTGGGGCCCCCAAGGCCCAGGCTGTGACCCTGACAACTCAAGGAATAGGATCTCGATCCAAATGGGGAGGCATTATGTCTTGGACTCCTCTGAGATTTGAGCTACAAATAATGTTTGCAGCTCATGGAAAGTACGGCGAATGGAGTAGAGACCATTAGAGTTAGCTCAAGTTCACATTCCTGAGACCCTGAGGGAAACAAGCCTAATGGTCAGGCCTGAGGCTGAAGGCCAAGTTCACAGAGCCTAGACTTAGAGAGCAGCAGTCAGGTATAGGAGAGAGGGAGAGAGGGAGGGAAGAAAGAGGGAAAAGGGATGGAGAAAGAGGGAGAGAGAGAGAACAGCAAAAGGCGAGAAAAGAGAGACATATAGAGACACTCAGACAGAGGAGAGACAGAGTGGAAAGACACATATGCATACGCAGAGACACATTGAAGGGAGAGAGAACACACAGACTGACACATATAGAAAAGAGAGTGTATGTGTATATGTACATATGTGTGTATGTGTATCTGTGTATGCGTACACATGTGCATGTGTTCTAGATGTGTTTAGACATTTGAAGCCAAAGTGTAGAGCATCATTCTCTGCTCCTCCCATGTCTGCCCTTGCTTTGGCGTGTGCGCCTTGATAGGTGTGCGATTACTCTGGCCTTGTTTTTTGAGCTGCTTGTAAACTTGTACCTCTTGACTGGTCCAGGCAACTCTGCTCCTCACTTTCCTCCTTGGAGCTGCTGTTCTTCAAGGACTGTTTGGAATCGAGCCTCTAAGGTTGCACTGGGAACTTTCAAAGGCACTAAAATTAATGGAGCAGAGAAATCTACTGAGAGAGGTAGGAAGAATTACCAAGACCTTAATAATAAATGTGTGTCAACAGCACTCAGGATTTTCTCCTTCAAGTCTCTGACTTTCTAGTTCCTACCTCTAGCCCCCAAGTGCAGATACCTTCAATAGGCTGTAAATTCAAAGGCAGCTTACAGAATTAAATTGCGTCTTTAGCTGTCGGTGGACTCTCGTGGAATTTGAGATGAGGAGGGAGGACGTTGGGGGTCACTTTGTGGTGTGAAAGTTTCACAAAGCTGAAGAAGAACTTGGGGTTTAGAGGCAGTGTTGCTCTGATGGGTGATCAGGGCAAGTGGATGTCACTGGTCCTCAGCTGGTGCTGAGTCAGGAATGGGCTCTGATGTGTTATCAGGACAGGTGGATGTCACTGGTCCTCAGCTGTTCACCAGCATGCCCAGGTGTTCTGGACATGTATTCTTTAATTCCTCACGCAAGAAGAGCGAAGGCTGGGGGCAAGGTCCAACTGGTAGACCTCCTGCTTCACATGCAGGAGGCCCCTCAGTTCAGTCTTCAGGGCCTCTGGAAGTGTAAACTCAGCATGCAGGAAGTGAAGTCTAAACTGGGGCTATCTTCCTGGAGCTAATGATATGGCCTCCTCAGACTAGAGAGTCTTGGGTGGAGTTCAAGGCCAAGGGGACCTTACAGGTTTCTTGGCCTTCTGACTGCATAACACATGGATCTCAAGGATTTATCTGTCCTACGAAGACCATTTGACACACTTACTAATTTTAATCTGTGTGTATGTCTATATGTGTGAGGGTACATGTTGTATGCCATCATGTGTGTATGGAGGTCAGAGGATAACCTCAGAGGTTTGATCCTTGCTTTACACTTTATATGAGATGAGGCCTCTCCTTCTTCTCCACCTACCCCAGGCAGCTGGTCTGCAAGCTTCGGGGATTCTCCTGTCTGGGCTTCCATCTTATCATACATAGATCATGAACTCCATCTTGTGTGCATGCAGGGTCTTAGGATCTGAAGGTCAGCCCTCATGCTTGAGTGGCAAGTACTTTTCAACCCACTGACCAAGCCATCTCCCTTATCCCTATTAATGAATTTTAAAGTTACATTCACTTATTTAGTTATTGGTTGGCACACATGTACAGAGGTCAGAAGACAACTTTCAGAAGCCGAGTCTCTTTCTGCCATATGGGGCCAGAGGATCGAACTCAGGTCACCAGACTTGGCTGCAAGCGCCTTTACCCTATCATTTCCCTAACCCCTATTAATGAATTCTTAAGCATGATGTTTAGAGTCATCTTCCTGCCCTAGAATAATCCTTAAGTTCACAGAAAAGAATTATGCCCCTCAAATTCTCCCTCCCCAGCTTTGCAGCAAGGCTCTGTGCTGGGGGATGGGCTGAGATACCCTGCTTCAGCCTTGGCTCTTTGTTTGTCCTCCACGTAACCTGATTTTCCCAGGGTTCTACAGCCCCTGTTCACTATGGACACAACATTTCCCAGCAAGATATTTTCTGAAACCACCAACAGCCCTTTTAGTCTTTGGAAACCTTATTTAAACAAATTTGCATTAGTAGCTCTTGGGGCCTCCTCATTTACATACGTGTTTGAAAGGGCAGTAACTTGGGGAATGTGATTGAAAAAAAAAACACAACTGGTGAATGCCTTGGCATGGCACGCTCTGTGGACATGCCTGAGACTGTTCAAAAGTGGAAGTTTAACTTTCAGTGACGCTCGGTTCATGTGCAGCCATGGAACGAATACAGGCTGCGATTTTTCCCTTCCCTTTTCAGCTACAGTAGAGAATGCTGTTATTGACCTATGATTGCTCTAGAAGAAAATAAAGATGTATTACTGGGGGAGGGGTGAGGGAGACACAGAGTGTTAATTAAGACAATATAATGAAATGTGTTCTAAGAAGCCCAAAGTGTTCTGAGCTCCTACTGGATCTGATCTGGTGATAGGATTGTAAAGGCAAGACTGTGCAAGCTTTCAGTCCTGAAAAAAATCTTAGGCCTGTGGGTCCACACGCAGTTTTCAGAACAAATGGTGCACTGTGGAGATGCTTTGGCAGTTAGGTGTTTGTCATCCAAGTGTGGGGGTCTGAGTTTGGGTTCCCAGAACCTATATGAAAGCTGGAGGCCAAGACAAGAGAATTCCAGAAAGCTTGCAGGCCAGTTAGCCTGCTGTGGGTCAGGAATAAGAAACCCCATCCCAAATTAGGTGTAAGTTAAGAACTGACACCTGAGGTGATCTTCAAACCTCCACATGCTGTGAGTGTGCCTACACACATGAACACACAAACATCTCTCTCTCTCTCTCTCTCCCTCTCTCTCTCTCATGCAAAGATAAAACCTCCAGGGATGTTTTATATCATTTAGGTAGCAGGCTAGGTCTGTGGCACTTATACATCTTTTTTTTTAAAGATTTATTTATTTTATTAATACAACATCCTTCCTTGATGTATGTCTGCACATACCAGAAGAGGGCACCAGATCTCATTACAGATGGTTGTGAGCCACCATGTGGTTGCTGGGAATTGAACTCAGGACCTCTGGAAGAGCAGTCAGTGCTCTTAACCTCTGAGCCATCTCTCCAGCCCGGCACTTATAAATCTTACAAGTACGAATGTATTCTGTATTTTATGTCATGGATTCCAGGGTAATTATTGATTAGGTTTAACTCATTCCAAGTAACTTATTAATTATTGTTATTGCATATATGTATTATTATTGAGAGAATGGCAATGTATGTACATGTCATGGTGGAGGTCAGAGGACCACCCTTGGGAGTTGGGTCTGTCCTTCCACCCTGTTTTGAGGCAAGGTCTCTTCTGTTTCCATCGTGCTATGTACTCCAGGCTGAGTGGGGAAAGGTGTCTGCTGCCAGACAGCCTGAGTCCAGTCACTGAATTCTGAGGTAGGAGGAGAGGACTGACTCCTGCAAGTTGTCCTCTGACTGTCACACGTGTGCTCAAACGCATGCGCATTCACACGTCTACATCCACAGCTCCCAGCTACTCTTTGTAGCTTAAATATTAAAAAGTCTTTTTCTGAGCCGGGCATTGGTGGTGCACGCCTTTAATCCCAGCACTCGGGAGGCGGAGGTTGGAAGATCTCTATGAGATCGAGGCCAGCCTGGTCTACAGAACAAGTTCCAGGACAGGCTCCAAAGCAACACGGAGAAACTGTGTCTTGAAATACCAAAAGAAAAAAAGTTTTTTTCTGCTTTTGCTTTTTTGAGGCAGGATTTCTCTATGTAGCCTTGACTGTCTTAGAACTCACTCTGTAGATCAGGTTGGTCTTGAACTCACAGAGATCCACCTGCCTCTGCCTCTGGAGTGCTGGGATTAAAGGTGTGCGCCACCGCTGCCACCACCAAGCTCATTTATTTTAAGTTTGTGAGTGTGTGTGCATGTGTGCGTGTGTGTGTGCATGTGTGTGTGTGCATGTGTGTGTGTGTGTGTGTGTGTATGATATATGTGTGTGCAGTGCTGTTGGAGGCCAGAAAAAGGTGTCAGATCCCTCCTGGAACTGGAGTTTCAGATTGTTATGAGCCGCCTGATATGGGTGCTGGGAACTGAACTTGGGTCCCCTGGAAGAACAGCAAGGGCTCTTAACCACCAAACCATCTCTCCAGCCCCACATTAACTATCTTGAACCTGACCAAGAGGGACCCTGGAGGATTTTCCCTATAAAGTTCCCCAGTGTACTATATATAAACAAGCCCATGAGAGTGGTATTGTGAGCTTGAGGGTGGGACCCTGGCTCTGTAAGTGCCAGAATGTGCTTAATATCTTCCCTATTAGCTTTAATCATTCAGACTTGGATAAGAATAGTTTTATTTTTCTTTTCTAGAACTTTCCATGTCTGTATTTAGCTTCTCCTGAACTGCCCTGAAATTTCTCTTCAGCACCATCTTGGAATTCTGAGCCTGTTCTCCTAAAGATCTTGTCTCTGTCAGTTTGAGATACTATAACAAAATGCCACAGGCTGATAATTTATTAAAAAAAAAAAACAAGGCTGGAAGTCCAAAGTCAAATCCAATTGAAGCATCTTAGGTGCCTGAAGACGGCCATTTTCTAGCCCACGGATCTTTCGATGCCTTCACATAAAAAAGAACAAAAAGGCCAAATGAGCCACTTGAAACCTCTCTCATGAAGCCACATTCTATGTGTTTCCTGTGGGGCGTTGGCCAGTGCAGTGCTGGAGCAGACAGAAAGACAGAGAGGCAGATTTTGGGATGCAGGCAGATTTAGTTTTATTCATCAGTCAGCAATGAATTCCTTAATTTCTGTGATCTTCAGGCTTATTTCCCAGAACTGAAAGCAAGTCACCCTGGAGAGACATGGAGAGAGGGGCAGTCTACATAATCTGGTTACAGGGACTGCACCACCCCCCATTACTCCACCCTCTCCTCAGCTTGTATTCTAAATAGCACATTTTCATGTTGTGCTTGCTTGTAGATGGATGATTTTTGCACCCATGTGTGTGGGTACATGTGCATGCGTGTGTGCATGCATGTGGAGGACTGATGTTGGGGAGTCATTCTTGATGTCCCTTTCCCCTTATTCATAGAGGCAGGGTCTCTCAAATGAATCCAGAGCTTGCCAATATGACTAGTCTCCCTAGCCACCTTGCTCTGGGAATCCCTTCCCTTTCTCCACCTTCCCAGGCAGGAATTTCAGGCTGGGTGCCGTGCTCACCTGACACATTTGTGCAGCAGACACTTCAGTCGCTAGGCTATTCCCCAAGATCCCATTTTCATCTTAAAATTGTAAAATTTCACGAGCAATTACATTCTGCCCATTAGCACCCGGTGTCACAGTTAAATGATTCCATCTTGCTGGCAAGGAACATTTTGATACTTATGTCAGACAATGGCTTTTCAATGATGAACTTAAAAAGTCTCTTTCCAGGTACTCTGCACATTGGTTCTTTGGCCAATTTAATGACAGCAGTAATGACTGAGATTTATTGGGTGTTTGCCACGTGCCAGGCCCTGTTCTAAGTGATCAGCAAGTATTAATTCATTTAATCCTGTGCGACATGATGAGGCAGGCAGTATTATTATTCCCAATTACAGTTGAAGCATTTGGTCTGAAAAGCCTGGAGTTCTGCAGCTGGGGACTATGATATTAGGACTTGAAGCCTCGTATCGGTTTCTTGTCTAGCTGTTGAGATCAAGTGTCTGATGAAAATAGCTTGAAAAGAAAGGGTTTGCTTTGGCTGACACTTGGAAGGAAAGCACGGTGCCAGGAGACAGGCAACTGGTCACATGGCATCCACAGCCATGTAAAAGCTGCGTGTGGAGCCGGGCATTGGTGGCGCACGCCTTTAATCCCAGCACTCGGGAGGCAGAGGCAGGCGGATCTCTGTGAGTTCGAGGGCAGCCTGGTCTACAGAGCAGTTCCAGGACAGCCTCCAAAACAATACAGAGAAACCCTGCCTCGAAAAAACAAAAAACAAAACAAAAACAAAAAAAGCTGCGTGTGGTTGGGCAGCATCTGTAACCCAGCTCAGGAAAATACAGGAAAAAAAACAAAAACAAATCAGAAGTCAGCTGACTTCCCATGCCACACTTCTTAATGTGTGTGGCTTACACACGCGTGTATGTGAGTGTGCAGGCCGGTGTCAGGTGTCACCTTCAGTTGTTCCCCGCCTTTATTTCTTGAGGCAGGTGCCCTGCACTGAACCTGGAGCTCTGGCCGACAGCCTGGCGCTGGCCCGTGGGCCCCGGCTTCTGTTTTTTTCTGTGTTTCCCTTTTCTGGGTTACAGATGCTGCCCACCACACGCAGCTTTTACGTGGCTGCCAAGGGTATAAAGCCGGTTCCTTCCTTGTGTGCAGCAAGCACGTTGCCCATGGAGCCCCAGTCCCGAGCTTTCTACTCTGTGTTCAACCCCGGACTGCAGCTGCATAGCACAGTGCTGCTCACACAGCCTGTTGCCTCCTGTCTCAGTTACCTTAATCTGGGAGTCCTAACTGCTGGGTGACTCTGGAGTCTGTCAAGTTGACGGTGTTAAACACCGCAGTCCAGAAATTAAGCATGGACTGTCTGCTTACATGAAATCTTATGGAGACAGCTTCTGAATGCCTTCCTTGGGGAAGCCTGAGGCCCAGGCAGGCCTCCCAAATGGAGCCGCTAAGCATCCTAGACCCCGTGACTGGAGCAGGGCAAGAGTGAATTCTGGAAGGAACAGGCTTGAGCTGGTGCTCTGATCCCGGGAGAAGAGACTCAACGGAGGCTGCACAATCTTTCTGGGTATTTTTAAGAGCAGCCCAGGCAGGCCTGGTGGAAAGCCAGGATTCTCCTGTGCAAGTAACCTCAAGCACAAACAAGCCCTTCACCTCAGTGGCCACGCTGGGCTCCCAGCAGGCCTCATTTAAACAGGCTGGCTTGTAAGGGGGAAGGGGAGCTGGCTCAGTGGATCGTGGGGGCAGCCAGGGATGCTGAGGGGCAGGTGTCTGCCTCTGAGTGTGCAGTCATGTGGATCCAAGGACGGAGACCGATATGAATGGAAAGCCTGGTGTTCACTTCCAATAAACCCAACTGTCTGTTACCGGGGCATCCCTGACTGACGGTCCCAGACTCATCAATTCAAATAAGTAGAGGGGGGAGAACAGGGTGTGAATCCCAATCAGAGCTCTTTTGAGCAAGCAGAGTCAGGGAAAGGCTTGGGAAAAGCAAACACTTTCTGAGGAGTGAGTCTTCTAGGAGCTGGTCAGGATACAGGAGGTTTGGGGGGAAACCTGGTGGTGGGGAGGGCTGCAGGAACCAAACTATCTGACCACACTGTCTGACCCTAGGTTCTTGGATCTCATCCTACTGCCCCTGGTTACAGTCACAGAGGAGTTAGTTGAAAGCCAGAGATGTTAAGGGACTTGTCCAAGGGCTACAGGGCATCTGCTCCTCCTAACCTAATTCTGGTTTCTCTCCATGCTGCCTGGCTATTTCTCTAGCTCACTGCTTGGAGATCCATGTTACACACGATACCTACTAGATGCTGTCTCCAAGAGCCATAGAAGTAAACTAGTCACATAACCTTGGTATCCTGTGAAGAATCTAAAGGTTTCCCTGAAGCACAGTAAAAGGGAATGCTGAAGAATATTACTTTAAGCTGTGTTACATTTGTTTATGCTGTGAAACATTTGTTTTAAACGATGCAAAGATGCGTTTCATTCTCTAGCATTGCATTTGTTTAACTCTGTGAAGCTGTGTTACTTTGCCTGTGTAAAACACCTGGTTGGTCTAATAAAGAGCTAAATGGCCAGTAGCAAGGCAGAAAGAAGAAAGGATAGGCCGGGCTGGCAGGCAGAGAGAATAAATAGGAGGAGAAATCTTGGAAGAAAAGAATCGAGGAGGAAGACATCAGGGGCCAGCTACACAGGCTGCCACGGAGTAAGAAGTAAAGAAAGGCATACAGAAGTAGAGGCAGGTAAAATCCCAGAGGCAAAAGATAAGCTGGCTAACTTAGTAAAAGCTGGCAAGAAACAAGCCAAGGTAAGACCGGACATTTATAAGTAATAATAAGCCTCCATGTATGTGTTTGGGAGCTGGCTGGCAGGACCCCCAAAGAGTAAAGAGTAATAAAGCAACAGCTACAGGGGGAAGCTGGGACAGGCTGTGGCTTTCTTACAAGGACAAAGTGACAGGTCACGAATTGCCCGTGTTTTGTCTAACCCTCTGCGAACTGTTAAGGAGCCTTCAACTTGGATGTTTACCACATTGAAACCCTATTCTGGGATTGGGGACGTGCTTCACTGGCAGATGTGTGCCTTGCGCGCACAAAGCCTTGACTTCTGTCCCTAGCACATGGACCGGATATAGTCATGTGCATGGCAACCCTGCTCCTAGGAGGCAGAAGCGGGGAATCAGAAATTCAAGACCATTGTCAGCTATAGTGAGTCTGAGGCCAGCCTGGGCTGGGTGAGCCCTGTCTCAAAATGAATAAAATAAAAAAGAAGACATCTCCCACCCCCCAAAACCTATCCCACTTCTTCCGGACTTTTTATTAGCACCAGCAGAAGGTGACTCTGGGTAATAAAGAGCAAACCTTGAGTGCCCTTCTTCACGCGTGTGCAGCAAGCTCTCTCACTCACTGAGCCATCCTGCCAGCCTCGGCCAGTTAGAGTTTACAGGCCAATAGCCAGTTCAGCAAGGGTTTTTTGCTTTGTTTTCCATTCTCTTCTGAGACAGACCCCTGGATTAGACAGGAATCTTGGAGTCATTTCCTTATGTCTCAGAAGTGAAGGCTCTGGTCTTCCAGATGAGAAAGGAAGCTGAGGTAGAAGAGACATGACCTGCTCAAGGTCAACTCACCTGGCCACCTTGTAAAATAGAGAAGTAGAAAGAATCACTGTGAAAACCTTCACCAGCCCTTAGCCACCGAGGAAATGCTGACTGGGTTAATACTGAACCCCCACGGCATGATTTGTGACTCTCGGTGGCCTTGCTTAGACAATGCTCGGGGAGGTTTTAATAACCTGCCTACCAGGCATTTCTGAAACATTCATTTACAAGAAGGCCAAGGTGCTCAGACTATAACTCCAGAGCTAATGTCTCCCCTGACTCTGGCGGCAGTAGAGATCCAACCAGGAGCAGGAAGAGGCTGGTGCCAGCCTTTGATGGCTGTCCTTTCGACCTCATGCTTCAGAAAGATGGACTTGGGATGACTTTTACACCTGCTTCAAAATGTTATTTCAGAGGGGAGTTAAGGAGCTCGCCACAGGCCAGTGCATCTGGCTGCAAAACCACTCCGAGTTCCTGTGTTCTTGACCCTGAGGTCCGGCTCCTGCTGGGAAGTAGTCGGGTATAATGCTGGGCTGCAGGTGGAGGTGTGAGTAGGCATTGCCTCAGTGAGCTCTCTGTCTCCCAGGTCAGAAGGAAGCTGGAGGATTAGAGTGGAGACTACAAGCTGGGAAAATGGGCAAAGGAAGTAGTGATTACAATAAGATATGAAATGCACTGGGAGAAAAATCAAATGTTTTGTTCCTGGTCAGTGGGATTAGAACTATACAGTGAAAACAAATAGATTTAATGGGGTGAGCTGGTGAACCCTGTCTTGTGATACATCAGGAAATGACTTTGTTCAGGAAGAATAGAGTGCTCACAGAGGAAATTGAACTTAATGCTTGTCTTCCTCTGTGTTAGTTGCCTAACTGCTTAGTACACACCTGTAAAACCAGAAAGAGAGAAGCCTGAGGCTTAACATATTGTTGACCAAGTAACTTGAGCTATGAATGTCTTCAGTGTGTGATTCAGCCTTTATTAAGAGCCTAATTTTTTTCTGTAATATTTATGGCAATGTGTGGATGTGCCCAATGGTGCTATGACTGGTTAAAAATCACCCTTCAGTGAAATGGAAGAGCAGCTTCCCTCCTTCCCTCTTCTTAGTTTAGACTTGTTTTTTTGTTTGTTTGTTTTTGTTTTTGTTTTTTTCCAGGACCCAGGCTATGTTGGTAGACTCCTTTTCCTCTGTGACAAAATATCCAAGCAATTCAACGTGAACGAAGAAAGCTTTGTTTGACTCACAGCTTTGGAGGTTTCTGCCTATGCTCAGTCGAGTGAGGCAGGACACCATGGTGGAAGTGACCCACAGAGGAAAGATGCTTACTCCTGACAGGCAGGAAGGAGCAGGGGTGTGGGGTATGTGGAGAAGGAGAGGATGACGAATGCAGTAGTGACGTCAAGGCCCTTGTGCACCAATCACTCCTCAATAACACCATCACCTGTTAACAAGACTAACACTCTTTATACTCAAACTATTAAAAAAGGTAGTTTATCTCAACCATAAACACAAAACAAATCCTCCTTCCCTGGAACCCTTAGAGAGTTTCGTTTGTTCTACTCATCATTGTATTGCATCATATGTAGTTGAGTGCTGGAGTGGGTGTAAATTTCAGAATGGTCTAATGATGGGGACTTGGCAAAGACTGATAACAATGACCACAGTAATAATTGTGTGCAACTATTTTAACATGACACCACTCCCCCTCCTTGATGAAGACACATGGCCACCCAGTTAGCCTGTAGGTTTCTGCATCCCTTGCAGCTAGGTGGTTGATGACGGAATATAACAGAGTGCTTGTGGAAAGAAGTTCATAATCATTCTTAAAAGAAAGCTTCTTGAGCAGAGGAGATGGTGCAGTTGGCAGAGTGTTTGCGGTTTAAGAGCAAGTTCCTGAATTTGAGCCCCAGAACCTACTTACAAAAGGCTAGGTGTGGCAGCAAGCACTTGTAATCCCAACACTGAGGAGGTGGAGACGGGAGGATCCCTGGGGTTCTCTGAGCAGGTAGCCTAGCTTAGTTAGCCAGTTCCAGGTTATTGAGAGACCCTGTCTCAAAAAACTAAGTGGAGAGTGCATGAGGAACTACAGCTAAGGTTAACTTCTGTCCCCAACCCCTAGAACCCTACCTCTCAGAGAGAGAGGGAGGGAGGGAAGGACAGACAGAGGAGGGAGAGGGAGAGGGGGAGAGAGAGAGACTTCACTTTGCTTTCTTTCCTAACTGTGTAGGCAGATGGGATAATGGAAGAACAGAAGGACTACACTGATTGTAGACTAGAGTAGACATTTATCCCAATTTGTTCACCTGTGCCTTAATGGTTAGTGAAAGGGAGAGAGAAATTTTGTTTATTTGTATATGTATATATGTGTATATGACTGTGTATGTGTATATCAGAGGACAACCTTAGTGTTCCTCGGGTGCTGTCCGACTTATAGTTTTTTGAGACAGGGTGTCTCACTGGCTTGGACCTCAACAACTAGACCAGGGAGTCCAGGAATGCTCCTATCTTTGCCTCCTCAGCAATGGGATTATAAACACACACCACCACAACTGGATTACAAGTATTATTTTTCAAAGTGAATTCTGGGAGATTGAATTTAGGTCCTCCTGCTGAGACCTTTACTCAGTTTTGCCTCTGTGATTTTGGTCTCACTGCAGCGGCTTCCCTGACATCTATCTAACCCAGCAAACAAGTGAGGCAGTCTACACTTCTTCCCTTGTCTTGCTGTTGTGACGATGTCCCTAACCTCCGGTGTGGTTATGAGGTTCTGCCCCTTTTGCCTCCCAGAGAAGCAGGATCGCCCCCTCCCTTTTGATCTCGGACCTGATGGGTCACGATATTTATTATAAAGGAACAAGAGAAGAGGGCTTGAGGAGGGAGTGGAGGAAGGAAGTGCCTCTAAGCAGAGAGGGATGTCGTCAGTGCTAGGAAGGATATGGAGTGCAGAGGAAGGGGAGAGAGGAAACTCAGGGCTGCCCCAGCTGGCTGGTGCTTAGCCTGGAAGGGTTCGATGAGGGTGAGGGTCTGTTTTCTGAGTGGACCAGTCTGAATGGGGCTGGCACGAGAGATCCGAAACTGGAATGCTACACAAGCACCTAGTGCAACAGAGTCATACACTCTGGCTACTACTGTCAGAGTTCTGATGGAAATGGCTCACTGTGGCTGACCACCGTCACATCCATCCATGTTCTTGTTTTTTTTTCTTTTTTTTTGTGAGTGTCATGTAGTCCAGGGTGACCTCCAATTCTTTAGGTAGCTAAGGATGACCTTAAACTCCTGATCCTCCTGCCTCCACCTCTCAAGTGCTGGAGTCACATGTGTATATCACTATACCCTGTCATGTGGTACTGGGGATGGACCCCAAGACTACATGCATGCTAGGCAGGCAGCTACCAACTGAGTTATATCCCTAGTCCTGGGGTCTCTTTTATAATGATGTTGATCCCATTGATTTATCTACTCACTTCCTAACAGCACCATTTTCTTTTTAATTAAAAAAATTCACTGACAGTTTCATATATGTGTATGATGAAGTTTGGCCATTGCTGCTCCCCAGTACCCTCTTGTATCCTCTTTCCCTTCCTTCTAGAACTCTCTTCTTCTTAGCTTGTCCCCCTCCTACTTTCATGTATGTTTTTTGCTTTGTTTTTGTTTGTTTTGTTATGACCCATTGAGTTTAATCATGGATGATTTCACGAGCATGGGTGTGGCGTTATTTTTGGAACATAGGCAACTTACTAGTGACTATACCATAGAAGAAAAATGACTATTAACTGTCAATAGCTCCTGAAGAAGCAGTGAGGCCTCATCCTTACCCCCTCTCCCATCCATGATAGAATGTTGACCCAACCCCACGTTCTAATACCAACTCTTTGGTGATTCTGTTCTAATCAATAATTTTGGGGTGACTCAAACATTCATACTCTACTATAGATACAAATTTTAAGTGTGCAGGTTGAGTCCTAGAGCCAACACAGCATGAGGATGAAGGCCAGGTCTCCTGGCCATGTTCCTCCAGTCTGACTCTGTATCTTGATCAGGTTGGTACAGCATAGGACTGGGCACTGTGATGGCTATTATTGATTGTCACCTGACAGGGTCTTCCATCACTTAGGAGATGAACTTCTGGGCACGTTTGTGAGTTTCTAACTTGTGTTAACTAAGGGAGGCAGACTGCCATAACTGTGGGCAGCATCGTTCCATGGGCCAGTGTCTTGGACTGAATAGGAAGCGAGCTGAGTACAGCACACATCTATCTGCTTCCTGACTGTGGTTGCCATGTGATCAGCTGCTCACTGTTAGGTCTCAAACTGGGCACAAATGGCAGTCATTGGCTACCAGGTTCTCCCTGCATCCCTCACTCCCTATCTGCTGCAGGGCCCTCCAGGCTGTCACACCCCACCCCCACCCCCGAAAGAAAAAATAAACCTCTAAACTTCTCCAGCCCAAGGGCTGGGCTTCCCTTCTCTCAGCCACCCTTCCCTGTGTAATCCAGCCATTTTGGTGACTTGGTCTTTTTATCTACTCTCTTGGCCAGTCTTGGCCCAGGCTGCTCTTGGCCAGCAGCTGCTCTCCTCCTACCTCCCCCAACTCCTCACATGGCTCAGAGTCATGACCACTCTGGACTCTCCCAGATGTCCCTACCTCTGGCTATGCCCTCCGTTTAATCTACAATAAACTTTCTCCTCCACCGTACCTAGGAGCCATTATGTCCCTTTCCTTTTTATTTCTTCTTATTCACTTACATGCCTGTAGCCACACCGTGATAGACTGTACCCTCAAACTGTGAACAAACAAAAAATCCTTCCATAAGTTGTTTTATCAAGTATCCTCTTGTAGCAGTGGCCAAAGCAATTAATACAGTTACCAAGCTTGAACATGGTGGGTAAGAGCACTCTCTAGAAAGTGGTCCAATCCCGCACACCTGCCCTTATGACCACATCTGTCAGTCATCTATCTCCTAATGCTATCTATCACATGAAGGGTAGAATCTCTGCCATCGCATAAGGGTTATATGGTGGTTTGAATGTCATTGGCCACCATGAGCTCATAGGGAGTGTCATTATTAGGAGGTGTGGCCTTGTTGAAGGAGGTGTATCACTATTGGACCAGGCTGTGAGATCCCTTTTGCTTTAACTTCATTCAGTGACAGGCCACTTCCTGTTGCCTGAAAGATGTAGGACTCTCAGCCACTTCTCCATACCATGCCTGCCTGCATGCTATGTCGCACCGTGATGATAATGGACTGAACCTCTGAACTATAAGCGAGCCACCACAATTAAATGTTTTCCTTTATCAAGGCTGGTCCAGCCAAGCACTGGGCTGAGCTAATGGAGTGCAGCTGAAGAGAGGGAGAAGGGATCATATGAACAAGGGGTGGGAGCCAAGAGCATGATGGGGGAAAAACACAGAGATAGCTGACCGGAGCTAATGGGAGCTCATGGACTATGAGATGGGGAAACTGCATGGGACCAAACTAGACCCTCTGAATGTAGGTGACAGTTGTGTGGGTTGATCTGTTGTTAGGGGACAGGCCCTGGCAGTGGCACCAGGACCTATCCCAGATGCACGAACTGGCTTTTTTGGAGCCCATTCCCTGTGGGGGGATACCTAGCTCCATCTTGACAAGGGGATGGGGACCTTGGTCCTGTTTCATCTTAGTATGCCAGAGTTTGTTGATTCCCCCAAAAAGGCCTTACCCCCTCTGAGGAGTGGATGGTGGGTGAGATGAGGGGAGGTGGGAGGGAGGAAGAATGGGGAGGGGGAACTGCAGCTAGTATGTAAAATGAAAAAAGTAAAGTGATTAAACAAAAAGATTTGCCATGGTCATGGTGTCTTTTCACAGCAATAACTAAGACAGAGTAAAATCTCAGCCATCACATTAGAGGTAGGATCTCCTGGGCAGAGCTGACAGAGTTGATAGCCCAGTTCTTATTTCTCTCTAGGGAAAGAGACCGTGCCTTCATCTCAGCCTGGCCCTGGAGATCACTTGACACATCTGCGTGTGGCCCATACATGCAAATATGGGAAGACCTCGTAGCTTCCTCCAGGCATGGCAGGTGGGGTCTTGCCTCTCAGTGATGGAACTGAAAGGCCATTAAGCTTCCTCAAATTAGTGCTGCTCCAAAGGAAGTGGCAATTGCTGTTTCTAGACTCCAGTCAGAGGGTCACCCAAATAACAACCCCTAGACCAGATGAAGACAAACAAGCTCTTGTGCTCTGTCTCCTCTTTCTTCCAGCTGTGTGGGTACTTCTGTGTTTCAGTGTGTGTGCACCTGTGTGTGTGCGTGCAGGCTGGAGGTCATTCCTCATGCTCTGTCCATCATTTGTTTGTTGTTGTTATTTTGAGACAGGGTATCTTGCTGTCCTGGAACTCACCTAACAGGCGAATCAGGATGGCCAGCAAGTCCTAGGATTCACCTGTCTCTGCCGTTCCTGTCTTAGGATTGCAAACATGTACCAAGTCACCTGGATGTTTTTCTTTAACGTGGGTGCTGATGATTGAATTTGGGTCCATGTCTTTGCAAGCACTTTACAGACTGAGCTATCTCTGCAGTCTGTCTGTCTATCTGTCTATCTATATATCCATACATCCATCCATCTGAAACAGCTGTTGCTGAATACTCCTGTCTGGTCTGGGAACTCAGTACATAGGCCACGCTGATCTCAGGATTATGGCAATCCTCCTGCCTCTGCCTCCTAAACCCCGGCTAGGTACTACTGTGCCAGTTCTAACAAGTTATCTCTTAAATGTGTACTCTACCCAATGTCCTTCTATGGTTTCTTTGGTTCCCTCCCCCCTCCTCCTTTGTAATGCTTATGTATTATGTGTTGGGGCAGGGGTGGAGAGTAGGGACATACTGTGGAGCTCATGCAGAGATCAGAGAAACCTTATGGAGTCAACTTTCTCCTCTACTCTGTGGGACTGAGTATTGAACTCAAGTCCTCGGGCTTGGATGTAAGTACCTTAGCCATCTATCTGCCCTGTGATTTCATTTGAACAGTTTCAGAATGTTTGAAATGCATTAGATATTTGGAGTCTAACAAAGGACGAAAAATAAACAAAACAAAACCGGAAGTCACAAGATAGAGCTCTCTTATGGGAACATGAACCAGAGTTCCAAGAGAGATCAGGTGCCAGCCAAACCTTAGGGAGGGTGTTGGGGGGGGGGCTCTACCTTGAAAAAGCAGAAGAGAGAACATTCAGCTCCTGATGTGTGATGACTTGGTGGTGTGAATAATTGTGCTTGAAGGAAGCTGAGGGGGCCCAGAAAGCAGCCCCAAGTGTCTTCATTTCCAATCATTTACTGGGAAGGAAAGAGGCATGGTCTCATGAGGCCAGGCAGCTGTGCCCAGCTGGATGTGGCAGACAGGAGCAGAGAGCCACTAAGAGCATGGAGATGGTGCTCAGTGGTCTGGTGGGGCAGGCCTGTCAGCCCTGCTACCGGGGAGGCTAAAGCAGGAAGATCTACCTGGGCTGCAAGCGAGTGTACCCTTCACTGGTTCTGCTCTTTTCAGGGAAGGCATGCATCTTATGGAGTGGTAAGGGAGGAAGGGGGGACACCCGCCTAGTCAGTCAGGTTAGCTGAATCAACCCTGGTGGTCAATGAGGTGACAGATGTTGCAATCAGATTGTCCTCACATCCTGTCTCTAAATAAATAAATAAATAAATAGATAAATAGATAAATAAATAAATAAATAATAAAAGGGCTGGGATAGAGCTCGGTAGTAAAGTGCTTGCCTACCATATGCAAAGCCCTAGGTTAGATCTCCAGCACTGCCACAGCAATAGAAACCTTAATTAAGACTGAGTTAGTGGGGAGAGCAGAGAAAAAGACAAGTGTGGGAACACCAGACCTTGAGCAGAGACCCACTTCCCCTTCTGCCTGGGAGTAGGCAGCTATAAGACAATGTTTACTAAAAACATGTTTACTAAAAACAATACAATGCCCGGGGCAATAAGTTCCTGGAAAAGGCCTGCCCACAGAAACCACCCTGACCTCGACCTTGTCCAAAGACTAGCCGCCTCTTCTGATACGCCCAGATCAGTTTCTGGGGTCAGAGAGAACCAGCCAGGGTAGAGGAGAGAGCAGAAGCTTCTCTGGTGGGAGCCTTTCTTAGGAAGTTTTCTTGAACCTTTTTGGGGCCTGCTTAAAGTTTTCTTTACACCGTTGAACAAGTCTCTGTGTTGTCAATCCCCGACACCCTCCGCACGTTCTCGGACACAGGCCGTACAGCAGACGCGACAGACAAGAGTTGAGCAGGGAAGAGCATTGCCATTGATTAGTGATGTCTGCTGTGGATGCAGCAAGGGCAACACAATGGTTTGTGTCTCTAGAGAATGCCAGTTTGCCCTGGAAATTGATGCATGTTCCAAGACAAGGCAGGGAACTTCTTTTTTATTCTCTTACACTAAAGTAAATAAATGCTGAGAATAAAATCTGGTGTGTGTGTGTGTGTGTGTGTGATATTTGTACCCAAAGTTGATGTTGGATGTCTTTCTTGATTGGTTTTTATTTACTGACACAGGGTCTCAGTTGGACCCAGAGATTGCCTGTGCAGCTAGTTAGCTTGCTCTAGGCACCCCACTCCACCCCAAGTTCTGGGATTACAGGTAGGACACCATGCCTGCCTGCCTTTTACTTTGGTTCTCAAACTCTAGTCTTTGCTTGCCCAGTGTGTGCATTATCCACGGAGCTACCTTCCCAGACCAACTTAAAAACTTTTTTCTTAAATTAAAACAATTTTTAAAGTGTGTGTGTGTGTGTGTGTGTGTGTGTGTGTGTGTGTGTGTGTGTAAGTATGTTAGATGCATTTGAGTGCAGGTGCCCTCAGAGGCCAGAAGATGTCAGATCCTTGGAGCTGAATTTATAGGCAGTTGTGAGTTGGCTGATATAGGTGCTCAGAATAGAACTTGGGTCCTCTGGAAAAGCATTGCATGCTTTTAACTGCTGAACCATTTCTCCAGTCCTGCCCCTAATTTTTTTCTATTAAAAATTAGCATAAGAAGCAGGGGTTTTCATACATAAGTTGGTCTTGTTGCTCTTTCCCAGTCTTCCTTCTCATTCTCCTGCCTCCTGCTGGCTAAGGTTTCAAACCTGGGACAATTGGCTCAGGTGCCTACTTAACATATCAAATCGGACCTGCCGCCTACAGGACCCTCCAGGCAGTCCTCTCAGGCCTCCCTCCCCTAAACTTCTCCAGCCGCTGTTCCCTACATAATCCAGCCATTTTGGTTATCTAGTCTCTGTCTACTCTCTTGGCTAGTCTCTTGGTCAGCAGCGGCTCTCCCCTTTCCCTCCCCCACCTCCTCACACGGCTCAGGGTCATGTCCACATCCACTTTGGACTCTCCCAGATGAACCTGCTCCTGGCTAGGCTCCTCCTTTTGTCTACAGTAAGCCTCCTCCTCCACCATACCTCGGAGCAGTTGAGTCCTTTTTATTTCTTTTTTCTTTTTCTTTTCTCTGTATTGTTTTGGAGACTGTCGGTCCAGCCTGGCCTCGAACTTACAGAGATCCGCCTGCCTCTGCCTCCCGAGTGCTTGGATTAAAGGCGTGCGCCACCACCGCCCGGCTTCCCTTTTTATTTCTTTTTTCATTCACTGCTCACTCATTTCACCCCAGTTGTCCTCACCACCCCCCTTCACATCACAGAAATCACGGCTTTGATGCCGCCCTTACCAAAATACCTTGCCGAGCACTAGTTTCTCAAGGCACCGGACTCTTTCATACTACTTCCAAGGGGCTGCTGGGAGTCAGGGGTGGGGGTGGGGGTTCTTGACTCTGCTGTGTGGACGGGGGAGGAGCCATCTTCTCAAATGGGTGCAAATAGCTGGTTTTAGAGAAGATTGAAGATGAGACAGAGGGGGAGTAGAGGAAATTCCACCAGTGGAAACTTTCTAATACTCATGTGAGCGGTTGTTGCGTAAGGTGTGGCACCAGCCTTGTGTTGCTTCAGGTGGCTAGCCCTTATCTCTCTATCAAGGCTGTTAAGTGCCTGGGGTCAGGGACTGTGTGGCTCCTTGCCTTGGGGGGTTGCTATTTGTGTTTCTGCAAGGCTTCTCCTGGGGAGGTTTTATCCTTCGGAGTGGCAGAGGCATCCAAAGTGTCTTGCTAGTCCTAAAAATGACTTGTTTGCGTTCCAGTGAAAATAGGAAGGAAAGAGTGTGAAATTAACCTGTGGTCTTTGCTTCAGGACCAACAACAGAATAGAACAATGGCCATTCACACTGCCCCTTTCCTGGGCTTGTTCTCAAAGTGCCAGCTTCCTTTTCGTTCACAGGACCCTCCCTGGAGGGTGGAGGAGAATTGTGTTTGAAGAAAGGGACTTGTGGGGGTGGAGGCTGACTGAGTAGGTCACCTTCATAAACACTCTTCTTGGAGCTTGGAAACTGGCATTTTTCAGATTGCCACAAAGTGGTCGAAGTGGCATTCTTCAAAGGCTGACTCTCTGGAAAATTGATGCATAGAGGAAATAGGCTCTGATCTTTTTATCCATTTGAAAATCTGTGTGTTGGTAGGATGATTGTATCACCCTAGCAACAAGGAACACACAGTGAGAGTTTTTGGGGGTGGGCTGTGGAGGTGACTTACTCAGTAAAGCTCCTGCTGTGTGGTAAGTCTGGAGATCTGAGTTCTAGCCCCAAAACCCAAGTAAAAAGGCAGGTATGGAAATGTGCATATGTAATTCTAGAGCTAGGAGGTGGAGGTAGGAAAATCTCGGGGCTCCCTGGCCAGTCAGCCTACTTGTATAGGAGAATTGTGGATCAGCGAGAGAACCTGTCTCAAAACACACAGTCAACCATGCCTGAGGAATGACAGCTGAGTTTGTCCTATGACCTCTACATGTATACACTCACATATGTAGCAATACATGTACGTACATGCACCTGTGCACACACAGGTACCTTCCCATCTATACTAGGATGTATTTGTGTATAAATATTCACGAACACAGACTCACAAATGGTGGGGTAGGTCTCCATGACAGCCGCATTCAGGATGCTCCAAGTGGGGATGCTTCCTGTAAAAGCTCAGAACACCTTGAAGTCTGAGCT